CCTTAGGCGAGACTACCAGGCTTTCGCCCTACAAGGGTCGTCGTCTAGCTCCGCGAGCTTAGGCGAGACTACCAGGCTTTCGCCCTACGAGGGTCGTCGTCTAGCTCCGCGAGCTTAGGCGAGACTACCAGGCTTCCAACCTTAGATACATCACACAAGAACATAGTTAAGCTGAAAAAAATTCAAATGCAACTTTATTACTTGTCTTGCTGAAACATAATTAAATAACAACCAAAAGCAACTTAAAAATAATAGGTGCCCAGCTACACATAATACTTCTTCAAATGTGATATGTTCCATGGTCGCGGTAGTAACCGCCCCTCGTCATCGCGGAGTTCGTAGGCACCCCCTGCGAAAACCCTCTCGACAGTATAAGGGCCCTCCCAGTTTGGTTCCAGCTTCCCGACATGCTTCAGTGCGTCGGCTTGGCACCAAACCAGGTCTCCCACTTGGAATCGTCGAGCTCGAACTGACTTGTCATGGGCCGCCCTCATACGTTGCTTGTAAACTGTTGTTCTCAATCCCGCCTGGTCACGCAGCTCGTCCACCAGGTCAAGTGCCTCCCTTCGGAGCTAAACATTCCCTTCTTCTGTGTAGGTGCTAACCCGCTCCGAGTTGAGGCCGACCTCCACTGGAATGACGGCCTCCATACCATAAACTAGACTGAACGGCGTCTCCTCCGTTGAGGTCCTTGGTGTCGTCCGATATGACCACAGCACCGAGTCAAGCTCGTCCACCCAAGCTCCCGAAGCTCTCTCTAACCTCGCTTTCAACCCGTTTAGAATTGATCTATTCGCGACCTCAGCCTGCCCATTCGCTTGGGGGTGGGCGACCGAAGCGAACTGCTGTTTTATACCCATCTCCTCGCACCAACTCATCGTACGCCGACCCCTGAACTGAGTACCATTATCAGATATAAGCACCCGAGGGATGCCGTACCGACAACATATGTTGTTGAAAAGAAACTTCATCCACTTAGAGAAGTAATCCACTGCCACAATGAGGAACTTTCGCTTGCCTGTCGCCTGGGGTAGCGGTCTAACTATGTCGACCCCCCATTGAGTAAAAGGCAGAGGCGAGCTTATTGGAACCATGTTCTCAGCTGCTCGGTGGATCAATGGACCATGCTGTTGACACTTCTTGCATTTTCGCACAAGGTCCTGCGCCATCGTCCTCATCTTAGGCCAGAAGTATCCAGCCCGAAGCACCTTTCCAACCAACGCCCTAGCCTTTAAGTGATCGCCGCAACACCCTTCATGCACCTCTCTGAGCACGTACTCTCCGTCCTCCTCCGAGACACACCTTAGATGAGGCCCTACGTACGACCGTTTATATAGAATCCCATTCTGCAGGTAGAACCTCAATGCTCTCCTTCTGACCGGGTCGTCCCATATATCTTTTCCGACTACCGGCTCCTCCAGCCATTGTATTAAGGGCGACCTCCAGTCCCTTTGCTCTTCAACTTCCAGCACCAAGTCTAAAGTACTCCTAGCCATATCCATCAGCGTCACCGACCGGGATCGACAGTCAACCAGAGACGCGGCCACCTTTGAGAGTAGGTCGGCCCTACCATTTTCTCCCCGCGGAATTTGTATCAACTCCCATGCCGCAAATCCTTTTAACATCGCTTGGACCTCGGCCAGGTACATCTTCATGCGCTCTTCCTTAGCTTCATACTCACCCTTGATCTGTTCGACCACAAGTTGAGAATCCGAGTGAATGATCACCCGACGATCTCCTTCCTTTAGGACAAGCTGAATTCCCTTGATGAGCGCTTCGTACTCCGCCTCATTATTCGACACCCTGAAAGACAACTTGACCGCAAACTCTAAGTGGTCCTTCTCTGGTGTGACTACCAAGATGTCCAGACCTGCTCCTCCTACCGCCGACGAGCCGTCGACGTACACCATCCACGGTCCCCTCTCGGTTCCCAGAGTGCACTCCTGTATGAAGTCCGCCAACGCCTGGGCCTTAATGGCTTTTCGCACTTCAAAATCCACGTTATATTCTCCCAACTCAACAACCCACTTCACCATTCTCCCCGAGGCCGAAGGACGACCCAAAGTATCTTTGAGTGGGTAGTTGGTCCGCACCATGACCTTATGCGCCAGAAAGTAGGGACGCAATTTTCTGGCTGTGGAAATAAGTGCTAACGCTGCCTTCTCCACGTCGGAATATCGGCGCTCGGCGCCCTGCAACACCCGGCTAGCATAGTATATCGGCTTTTGCTGTCCATGATCCTCCTTTATCAACACCGAACTAATTGCTTCATGCCCCACCGACAGGTATACCACTAACGTGTCGCCTGGTTCTGGTTTTGTGAGTAAGGGGAGTTCAGCTAGAAAGTCCTTCAACCTTTCAAAGGCCTGCTGTGCTTGCGACGTCCACTCGAACCGCGACCCCTTCTTCAAAGCCTTAAAAAAGGGGAAACTCTTCTCGGCAGATTGAGCTATGAACCTGCTCAACCCTGCTAGGCGCCCGGTTAGGATTTGCACCTCCCTCAAGTTCCTTGGTGCTTGCATCTCCAGAACAGCTCGTACCTTCTCTGGGTTGACCTCTATGCCCCTCTCCGTGACCAAGTAGCCCAGGAATTTTCCTGACCTGACCCCAAACTTGCACTTAGCTGGGTTGAGCTTCATGCCATACCGTCGTAAGGTACTCAAGGTTTCACGCAAATCTACCACATGATCACCCGCCTTCCTGCTCTTTACTAGCATGTCGTCAATGTAGACCTCCATATTTCTACCAATCTGCCCTTTGAAAATTTTATCCACCAACCGTTGGTAGGTAGCTCCCGCATTCTTTAATCCGAAGGGCATGACAACGTAACAATAGGTGCCCTTGGATGTCACAAAGCTAACTCTCTTCCGGTCCTCTTTGGCGAGAGGTATCTGGTGGTACCCCTGAGATGCGTCCATCATGCTCAACAGCTCGCACCCAGCTGTAGAGTCGACGAGCTGGTCAATACGCGGTAAGGGGTAATGATCTTTGGGGCATGCTTTGTTGAGATCCCTGAAGTCTATACACATCCTCCACTTTCCTTCTCCCTTCCTTACCATGACGGAGTTAGACAACCACTCTGGGAACTGAATGGGTAGCACATGCCCTGCCTTTAACAGCTTCTCCACCTCTGCCTCAATAATCGTGTCCAGCTCGACACCAAAGTGCCTCCTCCTTTGCTTTACCGACTTCATGGTTGGATCGATGTTTAACCTGTGCTCCGCTACCTCGGGATCGATTCCTGTAAGGTCGTCGGCCAAAAAGGCAAAGACATCCACAAACTCCTTCAGCAGTGCAATCAGAGCACCTTGTACGTCGGTCGCCAAATGCCGACCTACTTTGGTCGTCTTGTCTGGACTTCCTTCTATCAATTCAACTTCCATAAGTTCGTCCTGAGAGCTCATCCCCAACTCTTGCCTCTTCTCTCGATGGGAGCTCTCAGGTAGGTCATCTTTCCTTTTCCTGTGGTATGCCTCAGCCGTTTTCAAGGTGACCTCATAGCACCGTCGAGATTGCAGCTGGTCCCCAGTCACCTCTCCAACCTCATCTCCTACAGGGAAGTTAATCTTCATGCAATAAGTGGAAATGGCTGCCTGGAATGAATTCAAGCTAGGTCGCCCCAATATGATGTTGTAGGCCGAGCTAGCATCCACGACCAGAAAACGCACCATCTTCACCTTCCTCAAAGGTGACCTTCCTAACGCCACTGTCAAGCTAACTTCACCAACGGGACGGACTTCGCTGCCACTGAAGCCATAAAGGGCAGTGTGGACCGGCTCGACCTTCACATCTAACTCCATCTGCTGTAAGCACTTCAGAAAAATGATATCTGTCGAGCTTCCTGTGTCTATGAGCACCCTCTGCACATCGTAACTAGCCACCTCTGCGGTGATGACCAAGGCATCATTGTATGGGATGACAAGTCCCTGGACATCGTCAGCTCCAAACTTCAAAGTGGCTGAGGTCTTCTGCACTTGCACCTCGGCCACCTCATTGGCGACACCCTTTTCCCGGTAGGTCCTCTTTCTCTCCCTATGTGAATCTCCATCCGTAGGACCTCCCGCGATCATGTGTATCATGCCCTTCTTAACTGGCCTGTCAGGTTGCTCATCCGTCCTCCTCCGTTTGTCGCCCGACTCTCGCCCTTCCCGACGATCATCCTGGCGTTCTCTTTCCCTGATTACGAACTCCTTTAAGTGACCGGCCCTAATGAGCCGCTCAATTTCATCTTTCAGCTCGCGGAAAAAATTGGTGGAGTGGCCATAATCACGGTGATACCGACAATACCTGTCCTTCGACGCCGAGAACTTCCGTGGTGGGGGCAAAGGTTTAGGTTGTGCGAGCAACTTGTCCTCCCCTCGCTTTTCCATCGTCTCCAAGATCTCCTGTTGTGGCGCATTAAGTTGTTTGTAATGCTCGTACCTCGGACCCCTAAACCGGTCCTCGACCTTAGCCTCCTTAGGGGGAGCTCGGCGGTCGCCCTGCCGAGGCCTCTCGTCTACCTGCTTGGCCTTTGTTTTGTCATTTCGGATGAAGTCCGCTTCCGATTCCTCCATGTTCACATATTTGCTACACCTCTCAAGTAACTCGTCAAAGGACCTTGCCAGCCTCTTCGCTAGTGAATCTCTGCACTTCCCCGGCCTCAACCCCCGCGTAAGGCCTCCAGCTTTGATCTCTTCCGAGGCAGAGGGAACCTCCACGCACTCTTTGGTATACCGCGCTACATACTGCCGCAAGGTCTCCCCCTCCTTCTGCTGCATATTGATTAGAGAGAGATACGTCTTTTCGTGCTTCCTGGCGCTCGCGAACTGGTTCAAAAACAAAGAGCTGAACCTCTCGAAGCTATCGATAGACCCAGCTGGCAGCTGGTGGAACCAATCTTGTGCCGACCCCTTCAGCGTTGTTAAGAAGGCTCAGCAACTCACAGCGTCACTATACCTGTGCAGCACAGCTATGTTGTCAAACGATCTCAAGTGCCTAGCCGGGTCCGCCGATCCATCATAGGACAAGCTCAACTCCCTGAAGTTGCTAGGCAAATCTCCTCCTAAGACATCCTCGGCAAAAGGGTGTCCTCGTGAAACTACAGGTCTCTTACCCTGCACCCGAGCTTGGAGTTCTCGCATTTGAGCCGCCAACCTTTCCAAAGTTAACCCATCTGGTTGTGCCGTGGCCACCGGGTGAGAGGTCACCGACCTGGCATCATCCTCGTCGCCCCTCTCTAATCGCTGGTGTTGCTACTGATGCGAGTGGACCTGTTGTTGTGGTACTAATGGTTGTCGTGGCGGAGGTTGTCGAAACGACTCGTTAGGTGCTCTCTTATCCACCTCCTGCGCCCGGCCTATCGCCTCAGCAATAATTTTGTCCAACTCTGACCTAGTCATCTGAATAACTGGGTCCTCCCGTGGTGCCGAAGAAACATTGTTCCCTAGAGGATTTTGTGCTCTTACCACGCCCAACTACCTATTACCGGGGACACCATGCTGGTCACCAGCAACTCCAGTTCCCAAAGTGCCTTGATTCGCCCCCCCATCAACCGTGGCGCCCACCTCATTCACTTTGTCTGTCAAACCACATGATCCTCCTTGGTTTAGCACACGCCCCCCAACTTCTGATTGTGGCACCGGGGTCACACTTGGGCCCAACAGCGTCTCTTTGGGGGTAACAGGCGAGGGTGACCATCCTGGCAGGGGACCTGTTCTGAAGGCCCTCCGAGCCCACTCATCATCCATCTCCTTAGTCAAGCTCTTCTTCGAATTATCTCCTGCCATGATACTTGTTCTATTCTTCCTTGGTGAGAAAAAACAGCCTTTAGTGCTCCGGTAGAAGACTGATTCTCCCCACAGACGGCGCCAATTTGTTATACCACACAAACCTGGACCGCTGGACTGCTCCTCTTCGAACCGGGTTACGTCTCCTTGATCGCCGGTACCTGCAAAACACGCCGGGGGTGGTCCCGGCGCGAACACTCCGACGCTCAAGTCAGTGGTGATCCGAAGAAAAAGCGGCAGAGTAACGAGAGAATTCGTATGTGTGTGTTGTGTAAATGAAATAACCTGCGCCCCTTATATAGATGAAGTCATCTAGAGGTTGAAGAGTTCTTATCATACTAGGAATCTTCCCATCAGATTAGGTCAAAATCTTAAGAATCCTTGAGGTTGTGAACCTCTTCATGACTTGAGCACCATACCCCCTCCGGGTTGGGGTCTCCTCAGCTGAGCGTCCAGCTACCTAGGTGCCAAGGTACCTTGCCCAGCCCACGTTGAGCTAGCCTCCGCCTACCAAAGCGCCCGCCTACCACCCGTGTACTCCAAAGGTATCACGAGCCTCCGCCTACCAAATTGAACCACCCAGTTGAAGGTAACTAGACCCGGGTCACAACCGGTCCTTCATGAGCCGCTACTCATGACCACATCAAAACTTATTCTAAAAATTCTAAAAATTTTACACAGCATAGAAACATGACAGGGTCATAACATATTCAAAATTTAGCAAAATTGGAGCACGGACCAATTTAATATGCATTAAACATATTTCTGTCCAGAAATCACATTAATTATTTAAAATAGCTACAAGCCATGAAAATTTATGAAATTTTTGCACAGACTATACAATCGACAGAGGGTAACTCAGTTCAAATTTCATGCCAATCGGACAATCATGCGATTCATGGTGAATTTTACACATAAAACAGCAATTAAGAACTTTGAAAATTCATATCTCTCAATCTACAAATCGAAACGACACGAGGTCAGGACCATTGTGCCCATGACGATCCTAAGTTCCTAAATCCACATCAACTTAATGCTTTTACGTGTTCTCGTTGGACTCGCACGAACCGACGGAATTCACATAAAATCATGACATTAAATAATATTAATAATATATCTATATTCTCAAAACACAACACATATACAAACGAGAGGGAAAACGAGTCCCGTTACCGTTCTCGGGATTAACACAGATTAAGAACGAGCCGAAGATCGAGATGGGTTGCTCGGATGAGCTCGACAACTTCGTTTAGCTCGCCGACGGGTCACAATGAGCGGGAAAACAACACGGGGTGGAACTTCGGTGAAAGGCTCGCCGGGAAGGAGGGCAGCGGCTCGTCGGGACTCCTGCTGGTGGCCTGCTCGCGAACGGGATCGCTGCACGTGGTCGGGAGGTGCTGCAACTCGTCAGAACAGGGCTCGAACGGACCACCGGAGGTGCTGCTGCGCGGAGGATCGCCGGACTGGTTCCGACGGGAATGGTGATGAAGACGATGGATTATGGTGAAGAACAATGAGGGGTACGATGGTGACCAAGAGATGAGGGTGAATAAAAGTTGTGGGAGAATTAAAACGAGAAGGAATTTCTCTTACGATTTGCGCGAGGAAGAGCAGAAAAAAAAAATAGCGAGCGAGAGCAGAATTCTCTTAAGGCCTGCGATGGTGTGGGTTTAAATTTGAACTGAGGGGTTGGGATAACTATCTTATATCTTATATTTACATGCTACTAGGTTATTAATTGATTGCTTGGTTCCCAAGCTAAAAAAAAAACTCACGCACAACACGCACGAAAGAAAGAGAAAGCCGGGTTCAACACTCAGAATAGATTTTCGGGTTCGATTTAATCACGTGATTAAATAAATACAACTCGTATAATTATTTACACATTATAATTAAATATAATACTTAGACAAATTAGACAGACATTTAGCAAATAATAATAATAATGATAATAATAATCAAAGCAATAATAATTAATAATAATAACAATAAATTAGGCATTTAACAACAATATTTATAATAATAATAATAATAAAATAGAAATATTCAATTAGGCAATTAAATAATAACAAATAATAATAATAACAATAAAGATAATAAATAATAAACCCAATTATTCCATATTCAATGGGGTATTACACGTGTACTTAAGCAAGGTCGTTGTGCGTGTTTATCATACAAATCGTGTCTAAGAGAAGACCTTGAGTGCGTCTATTAGTCACACCTATCGTGTTTAGTCGAAGGCCTTGAGTGCGTGATTATTCACAACCAATAGGCAAAATCACGATCCCTCATCACGCGTGTTGCCCGCGCGCGCTGCTGCCCAGCACTGCGCCCGTGCGCGCCGTCTGTAATGCCTCATTCGATTTATAAAATTTCTCAGAATATTCTATTTATCGACTATTGTTTAAAAGGTTATTAGTCGCGATGTCGGCTTAAATAGAAGGTTGGAAGACTCGATCGTTTCACTGATAAACGTTCGTCGTAGGCGATTCAGTTTAATCGTGTGACCCGACTATAATCCGTTTGAATATGGAATAATTAGGTTATTATTATTTATTGTCTTTATTATTATTATTATTATTATTATTATTATTATTATTATTATTATTATTATTATTTAATTTCCTAATTGACTATAGTTATTGTTATTATTATAAATATTATTACTAAATGTCTTATTGCCTTTAATTGTTTATTTGATTATTATTATTATTATTATTTATATTTATATAATTGTCTAATGTGCCTAATTTATTAAAAATGAATAATGTGTGTATTAGATGTATATTTTTCGGGTTTATTTTAATTGCAATCGAACCAAACCGTTCATATTATTCCTAAGTGTTGAACCGGGAGAAGAGACCCGAACCCCGGCCCTATGCCCGTGCCTGCCCGCGAACCCGACCCGCGACCCTTTTCCCTGTTAACTTGGTGACCAAGTTTTGGACTTAGGTTTTTATATCAAAATCCTGTCCTCTCTCGTTAATTCTTTCACGCAGACCCTATATCCCATACCAATCTCTCTCGCTCAAACCATTACAGAGAAGAGAAATCGTATTTCTTATTCTCTCAAGCATCCGTCCATCTCAATTCCCATCGTTAGACCGCCGCCCTACCATCATCATTCACCCGATCATCACCATCAACGAGCCCATCGAATGTAATTCCTTGTTGATGAATCCAAGCCGAAGTTGTGCTCACGCTTCAGAAGCACGGTCAGCCACGAGCCCAGCGATTCTCTATACCGTCAGCCACTAGTCGAGTAATGGTCCTAACCCACCGTTGACAGCCCTCGATCCAAAGTTCCTCAGGCTCCTAAGCTTCCACCGTCGTCGTGCGAACGCCGCCATCGAGGAAGCCGTCGAGGCCACGGATCAGCGGCCGGGACTCACCTCCGATCAACGACCAAGGAGCCTCGTCAAACTGTACGCTGCGAACAGGCCGTCGATGTCGCCCAGACACACCACAATACGCGAGCACCGAGCCTCGTCGTGAACCACCACGGTCAGCCATCACCGCTCACCACATCGAGGACGCCCAAGACCTTCAAATCCGCAACCACAATCAAGAAATCTCCATCATAGCGAACCTGTCACCGTTCGCCGCCGAGCCACCCATTCGATTTCGAGAACTCACCTCCGCAACCTGTTAAGTGGCCCTCCCCTCAGCCCATCGATTTGTCGTCATTTTGACCGACTGGTCGCCATCTCGGATCGAACGCCCTCAAGAAATCGAATCGCGCTAGCAGTGCCACGAACTTCAACCGCCGCAAGCGAGCCGTCGGACCTACGTGGATTCAGAATTGAAGAGACAAATTCTAAAATTCGAGAGTTGAATTTGAGAGCAGTTGACTGAGAAATTGGGTTTTGATTTTTGTCCTACAAATCGATTTTAGATTTTAGGTGGAAGAGAGATGGGGGAGGAATGGAGAAGAAATTGAGAAAGAAGAAAAAGAAATGGGAGAAAGAGGAAAAGAAAGAGGAGAAGAAAAAAAAATAAATAAATAAAAGTAAAGATGGATTTGGTGTTGGTGTATTGGGCCCTTAGTGGTCTTGGGCTTGAAAAAATAAATTGGTTGATAAGAGAGAGGGTGAATGGACCAAGGAAGAAACATTGTGGACTAAATCAAATTGGGTGTCAGAAGGAGCTTCGACCCAACTACCGAACTGTGTCCAGTCCTTACCCCATTTTCTCGTCTCCCCATTCAGTTTTTGCTGTTGCTCGACCCCGAGGAGTGTTTCTTTCCACCTTAAGAGATTGTGCAGAAATATTTTAAGGAGGATAGTCGAGTCCGAGCAAGCACATTGTGAAGTGCAGGACCGTCTTGGTTTTGAATTTTATCCATCGTAGAAACTCTCGTTCTTCTACTCCTTACGGATTTTCGGGAGAAATCTTTTCTTCTACTCCTTACGGAGTTTCGGGAGAAATCTTTTGTGGTCTCGGGACTTTTGCGATCCCTTGCAAACATTTGTTTCTGTTGTATTCAAGTATTGCAACATTATGTGTCGTTTGAAGGAATTGGACTTGGAACTCGGACTTGCACCTTGCTATTTCTGAAACCCTTGAACTTTTGAATATTGTGAAATGCCTGATATATGAATTGTTTTGTTGAACCCAAAATTTTTGAAATTCGCCTTTTTGTATTGTCTTTGATTTTACATTCCTTGTGGAACCTTGGACCAAAAGCCGACCCTGGCTGGGTGTAGCCACACGAAGTGGTGGCCGAGCATGTTGGGTTCGATATACCGTACGGAACAGAGTTTACAGCGGAATTTAAAATTTTAT